AGGATCGTCACCATCATCATCTTCGTCATCATCATCATCATCATCATCTTTTTCATCATCATCATCACCACCATCATCTTCATCATCATCATCTTCGTCTTCTTCATCATCTTCATCATCATCATCTTCGTCTTCTTCATCATCATCTTTTCCGTCTTCTTCATCATCATCTTCATCAGCAGCAGTGTGTTTACCATCCTCATCTACTTCTTCTTCTTCTTCTTCGTCATCATCATCTTCTTCTTCTTCGTCATCATCATCTTCTTCTTCTTCATCATCATCTTCTTCTTCTTCATCATCCTCATCTACTTCCTCTTCTTCATCATCCTCATCTGCTTCTTCTTCATCATCCTCATCTGCTTCTTCTTCATCATCCTCATCATCATCTTCTTCTTCATCATCACCCTCATCATCTTCATCTTCATCATCATCATGTACTTTTTCTCCGCCATTATCGTTATGTTCTCCTTCAAAATCTTTACTAACCCTATAATCTTCGTTCTCATTATTTTATTAACTCTTTCTTTCTCTCTCTCTCTCTTTCTCTCATTCTTTCTTTCTCTCTCTCTCTCTCTCTCTTTCTATAATCATATATACTTCTTCAAATAATTTTATTTTGTCTCTAAACTTTTTACACTTCTCCCCTTAAATTCGATGCAGCTGTTCCTTGGATGCAATCAAGCATGCAAATCAATTATTAGGTGGACCAGCTAGTTTCGAAAGCAATTTTTAAAAAATATTTTAATACCAAATTAATACCAAATCTCCTTAAATTTAATTCTTCAATTAAATATCATAAACTGGCTTGTTTGACTTTATAGATGTATAATTCACATATTCATTAAGTTTCACCATAAATCATACTACAGCATACAACAGACCGCAAACAATCCCACCGTATTTCATCACGACATGTCAACAACTACACCAACAACTACACCAACAACTACACCAGCAACTACACCAGCAACTACACCAGCAACTACACCAGCAACTACACCAACAACTTCGAGTAGAATGTTTATATGGTTCACAGAATCATTTCTAGCCTCGCAATCATCCCTTTTTATTGCCTCGACAAAGTCAAACGAATTCAAATTACATACGCCGAGTAAGAAAACCACAGCTGAAATTTTATAAATTATTTTCAACGAACCAAATCAGTCCGAAAAAATGTACAGCCAATGGATTTTAAGCTGAAACTCTTCGTAAAAACTACAATAGCTACTAGTTGAGCTACCACTACTACTACAGCTACTAGTGGAGCTATTACTACTACTACAGCTACTAGTGGAGCTACCACTACTACTACAGCTACT